TTTAACCAATATATTATTACTATATAAAAAAAATCGTTTTTAATTAATGTGCTAAATGTGGGGTATAAATCTGAAATCAGATCCTATACACTGGCTGGCATTAATGAGAAGCTAAGCTGTTATAGGTACGACCGGAAACAATACAGAAAAAGACATGTCATAGTGGATTAGGCCCTGCAAATTTCTGGGCAATGCCCTCCTTCCTCTAATCCTATGCCCACACAGACTCAAAGTATGTTTGGATTAATTTGTAAAATTTTTATTTTTTTACTATTTATAAATTATAAGTGATAAATTTAAATTTTTATTGAAAAAAATTTTAAAGTTATTTTTAAAAATAAAAAAAATAAATAAAATTTATAGTTTTTAAACTTTTACCATTTGAGATTTTTTTAAAATTAAAAAATTTTAAAAATATAAAAGTTCTTAAAAAAAATTTTAATTTATAAAATAAAAATTACATAAAAAAAATTGAAACATTTAAAAACTGAACCAACCATGCACTTACGCTAGTGTGGTCCAAAGTTCCAAATCATGGCACCGCCAAAATCTCTAGCTACCGTTTGGTTAAGTTTAAAATACTACTTTCTATTCACATGAGTTGGATTAGGTGGTGTTTATTAATTTAATTTTTAATTTAAGATTAATATTGAAGATTTTAAATTTTTATTATATTAAATAATTAACTTTTTAATGTAAAAAATTTATTATTTTTTAAAAGTGTTCATAAATGAATTTTTTTAAAAGACAGATTTTTTTTTTTGAGAAGTGTTATTTCTAAAGTTAGGACTTTAATTTTATTGCTTTTAAAATAAATTTTTATGGTCAAGATTCAAAATTTAATGTTTTAATTAACTTTTTTTTAAATTTACTTCGTTTATACCAGTTTATAATTTAAATTTTTATAAAAAAAAAAAATTTACTCAAACACAACTATAAAACTACGCTTGGCACGAATAGGTACCTACTTCTAGTCTCTTATTCAGCTTTCTGGTTATGCTTGTTCTCTTCAAAAGACCTCGCAAGAGCACAAGAGGAGGTGTGAATGGGTAGTGGGTATATTCAGGGTTCGTCCATAATAGGACCCTGGTGTGGACCTGTTTAGCTTGGAGGTCATGGAAGAGATGGATATCTACTTTTTTCAGTGAATCAAAATTGAAACAATAATATGTCTTTGGAGTCCCATTCTGTAACACACCCCACTTGTCATTTTCATTTCCTTCAAAAGCCATAAGATTTATCGCTTTCAATACAATTCATTGCCAACTAAACCTTGTACTCTAAAAGCAAGTGAATTTCTTTTATGGACCACTGTGCATATGTCTCTTTTAAAGAACAATTAGATCATGGCATTATTGTAGCTACATTATTAGTTTGTAGCCGACTCTCTAAGGCCTGTAGCAGTTACTACCATCTACCATTCTTACATTTTACAACCCACCTCGATGCTCTTTTGTCCTTTCTTGTGTCGTCGCGTACTGTTGAAAAACCCTACAGCCCAAAAAGAGAGAAGCAAAAAGCAGAGGGAGCAAAGAGATGGAAACCCAATTTTTGTCTCGTGCATTTACATGCAACTCCTGTTTGCATGGACTATGGTCCCCTCCTTCCAAAGTCCACAAAGTAAAACCCCAACCCCAACTGATCCCATAATTTTGCATAATAGAGGGTAAAACCACAACCACCTCTCCCTCAATAAACACACATCTGCCCTTTATTATTATTATTATTATTTTCAACATGGAAAATTATGGATAAATGGAGGATTTTTTAAAGTAATGAGTAGAAATTAAACTCCAATAAACTAAATTCAAGCACTAAGATTTGTTTGGATAAAAATTAATAAAGGGAAGAAAGGAAAGAGAGGAAGGGAATGAGAGAAAAGAAAAGTGAAGGGAAAGAAATGATTAGTGTTAATTTTATTTAGATAAATAAAAATAAAAGAGAAGAAATAATAATGTTTTTATTTAATTAAATAATTTTTTAAAAATAAAATAAAATATTTAAAATTTATTAATTAAAAAAATAATTGATATAAAATGTATATATATATTTATTTAAAAAAATTAGAACATATATATATAATTAATCCCTCTAAATCCCGCATTTGAAGGAATTAAAAATAAAAGCGCGACGAAGATTATATTTTCCTCCATCTTCATCCCCTATATTAATGAGTGAGCTAAACATAAAGAAGCATCCCTCCCTTCATCTTTTTACCCTCTTGTCCAACTTCCCCGATCCAAACTACGAATAAGATTTGAGGGATGCATCATGGTATTCGAAAGTCAGGTTCACATCTGCCCTTCATTTTAATGGAAAAGTAAAATAATTAACAGCAATAATTACGAATATGATGCCTAAAAAGTCTGTCTATCGATTATAGGAGAATCGCAGGGTTGTGCCGTTCCAAGGGCCATTCTTTCTTCCTGCTCTGTCATTAGCATTATTATTTTCTTCAGCTTTGAGAAATGTGCTCGGATCTTGTGTTCTCTGCTCTGCTGTATACTTCCTCAGCTTTCCCTATAACACATATGAAGCAATGTGTTCAAAGTTCATTGCTCAGTTTCCCCTGTTTTCTCCATTTTCCCTTCTCATTCAGTTCATCTTTCCTTCTCTGTGTATCTTGAGCTTTCTAGAATATCCAAAACCATGTCTGTGGGTTTAAAGTCTTCTCTTTGCCTCTTTTGAGTCTGTTCTTTAACTTATTTTGGCTCCTTGACTCCAAAAGTCCACTGCTTTTTAGACATGTTCATCATCTACATTTGAGCCAAGCTTCAGAATCAGAAGCCAGAGTGGGTTTTCTTCTTTAGGTCTAAACAATTTCGTACATTTTTAATATTTCTAGCCATGAGTGTCTTTAGTGGAATTCCCAGCAATCATTTTATTTTGGTTGTTTGCATTTTGTGTTTGGGTGTTCTGTGTGGTGGACAAACAGAGTTTGGTACCGCTCAAATGGAGAAAGCTGAGCAAGCAGCCCTGTACTCGGCCATTCAAGGCTTTGTGGGTAATTGGTGGAATGGCTCAGATCTCTATCCAGATCCTTGTGGATGGACTCCCATTCAGGTACTTTTTCTGTTTTTCTTTCATCCTCTTTTGCTCTGAATCTCTACTGTTTCATTGCCAATACCAAATAAAACCCAATTTTCTTTTTCTTTAGTCTTTCCTGTCATTGAGATCAAAGTTTTCTTCTTTCTGTTTAAGAACATTTATGAATAATGGGCACATTATAAAAGTTACCTCTTATTTCAATCTTCTTCTACAGGGGGTTTCTTGTGATATTTTTGATGGGTTATGGTATGTCACTGATTTGAGCATTGGACTTGTTCATGACAACTCTCTTGAATGTGCCCCGGAAGTGGAGTTTAGGCCACAGTTGTTTGAGCTCAAACACCTGAAATCTCTCACCTTCTTCAACTGCTTCACTTCACCCCGGAGACATCCAGTTTCCTTCCCCTCCGACAACTGGGAAAAGCTTTCCGGCAATCTGGAATCTTTGGAGTTCAGATCAAACCCGGGTCTAGTAGGACAAGTTCCTACTAGCTTTGCTTTCCTCACCAAGCTTCAATCTTTAGTCCTACTTCAAAATGGGTTAAAAGGTGAGATACCGGAAAATATTGGTAAATTGAGTAACTTGAGGAGGCTAGTGCTCGCCGGGAACTGGTTTACCGGGAAAGCTCCGGGCAGTTTTGGAAGCTTAACAGAACTGTTGATCCTGGATTTAAGCAGAAACTCACTATCTGGGCCATTGCCTCTGGCTTTTGGAGGGTTGACTTCACTCTTGAAGCTTGATTTGAGTTACAATCAACTACAAGGAAAGCTGCCTGGAGAGATAGGGAATCTGAAGAATTTGACCCTGTTGGATTTGAGATCCAACAGATTTTGTGATGGGTTGAGCCAGTCACTTCAAGAAATGCATTCTTTGGAAGAATTGGTGCTATCCAACAACCAATTTGGAGGAAACCTGTTGAGCCTGGATTGGCGAAGGCTACCGAATTTGGTGATTTTGGATCTCTCCAATGTGGGCTTATCAGGTGAAATTCCTGAGTCCATTGTTGGGTTAACCAAACTAAGGTTTTTGGGTCTAAGCAACAACAATCTCACAGGCAATCTCTCACCAAAGTTAGCATCTTTGCCAAGTGTTAGTACACTTTATCTAAATGGAAACAATCTGACAGGAGAGCTTAAATTCCCTGGAGACTTTTATGGGAAAATGGGGAGGCGTTTTGGGGCTTGGAACAACCCAAATCTCTGCTACCCTGTTTCCCTAATGACAACTAGTCATGTTCCATATGGAGTAAATCCATGCCAAGAAGATATAACTTTGGCTGACCCAAATTCCATGACCAAGTTGGGGGATCCTGGGAATATGAATCAGAATTTCCACTTTGTGATCTCTTTGGGATTCTCAAGCTATGATCTTGATGGGCTTTTGTGGGTTTTCTTGGTAAATACATTGGTGATGGTACAGCTCTCGAATTTTCCCCTATAGGTCCTTGTTGTTAAGAAAAGATTCTAGGTCTAGCAAGTAAACCTTCTTAGATGCAACAGTTGTAATTTCTTTATCGCTGTCCGTACTTTTAACCCCCAACAAGATGCTAATATCTTTTGTTTTTGGAGAGTAATGTTTGCATAGTTCAGGTTCAACTAGCTGCCAAAATGAGCTTAGCATGGTAGGTGAAGTTTGGATGTATCTATAAACGTATCAATGAAAAAAGTTGTGTGGTTTCAAAATTGATTGGAATACTACTCTTCCGTTGTATAACGTCTGCCAGTGTTTTTCATTTAGCATGCGAATTAAAAATGAAAATTATTTTTGTGATTAATTTACATTTTGCTGATTTTTCTTTTCTTGTTTCTTGGGGGAGGAGAAAATATTGAGAATTTATTGAATATGCATTGTTTTTCTGTGCTTACAAATCCTGACTTCAGAGTAATAAACGTTGCGGGTCTTAAGATTCAAATATGAAATCAACTCACTAATAGAGTAATATGGTGGTAACTCTTTTTATTTGGTAACTTCTTACTTCTGTCTAAGGCACTTCAGACAGCTTTGTACCTGTCAAACTTAACCTGCAATTCTGGTTCTGGTTTCGGATGGACAAAGCAGAACCAACTTAAATGCTGGGAATTTTGGCAAGGAAAATATTGAGTTGAAATTGGGATCTGGGATTCTGTTTTTCAGAGTTTTTAATTGGGTTTTCCATTCCATGCATGGATACTTACTCCATATTAGTATAATTTTATAGAAAAGTGTTATACATTTTAGACTTACTCACGAGAGACCATATAATTTTAACCATTGGCGTTAACAGAGATAGAGGGTTCTTGAATGTTGAGTTATCCTCTCCCCAATCAATTGTCGTGCCGGACTCGGACTGCAAAAAATCAAACTCGTAACTTTAATGCATTGAAAGTGAAGTGTGGGGGGTAAAAGTATTTGGCCTGTAATAGGGCTGTGGAACTGCCATGGCCTGTACTTTAGGCTGTGTGTAGACTTGGTAGCCTGTGAATTCTAGTGCTCTGTTCACTGGTCATTGCGTTAAAGCCAAGGCCAAGGAGGGTTGAGAGAGGGTTGGGGACCATTTGGAGTATAAGTGAAAGACTGTCCTGTGGCATGATTGGTTTGAGCTATCTTTTCCCCCAAGTTGGTATCTTGTATCTCTTGGACAATTAAAAGTTCTGACCTGAATTGAATGTTCCTCACTTTTCTGCTTTAGAGTCCCTTATAATCCCTTTCTAATACGGTAACATGCTTGGTTAAAGTTTTTCCCTTCTTTCTCATTTTGAAATGTTTAAGTTGGCCTTTAATTGATTAAAAGAGGCTTTTGGTATGTATTGTGATATATAACACGTGATAGTTCTTTCTTTTTCCTAACCCTTCCCTAATTGATTAAAAGAGGTGATTGTTTTTACTACCAACCTATGCTTTAAGTATTGACTTAAAAAGCTTTCAAGGGCACACACGTTTGAAAGTGTTAATGATTTTTGACATGTATAATGATATACAACATGAAATGGCTATTTCTTTTTCCCGAACCCCTCACACTCTTCTTAAGATTCCAATATGAGGCCAGAAGATAAACAACTCCCAAGTAAAGACGTAACACGAGCTAAGAAGAGAATAAAGCCCAAATAAGTATAAACATCAAAGTCAAACAATCTATTTCTGGCATGCTAGTAACAGGCTTAAACCATTAGGAAATAAGAATGACTTGGGCTTACCACTCTAAACCAAAAAGAATGAATTGGGCCTGCCTTAAAAGAGTTCCATTCAATAATAATATATAGGAATATAAGTCAATGTACCAAAAAAAATAGAAATATAAATCAAAGTCACCCACTCTAGAAGAGTCATAATAAGCATCCTAACCCATAATGTACGCATACGTTATGCATCAGGTGCTTCTAAAATGGAATGGTTTCAACCAGCAGTTGTGGTCGCTGGTCGGCTACTAATTTGAACTTTGAAAAAATCCAATTTGTGTTTAGGGTTTACCTGGAATTAAGTCAAGTCAAAGAAATTGAAAAAATTACCGTGTACGCGCCTTTGTACAACGGGGTCTAAGGGATTGAAAGTTTGAATTTTGCATGCACCGTCTTTTCCCGACTTTAATTGCCACTATTTATTTCATAATGGATCTGGATGTTCTTTTTGTATGCATTGCTGCTCCTGCACTTCATTGGTTGCATTTGTCTTCCCTAGATTTTTCCAATTAAACAAAATGTCGGGGGCATTGATGCAAACATGTGCATTTGGAATGAGGCGCGCACTGAAGTCATGAGGAGCATATCTTGCTTTCAGACCAAGCTTAACTATTAATTAATTGGCACAGGTATGGCAATTTCCCCCAACATTCTAATCTAATTTCATTACTTTCTTTTCTTAAATCGTTTGTTTTTTTATTTGATATTGTGTTATAAAAATCTTTTATCTTTTGACTTTACATTATTTATATATTATACGACTCAAATTTAGCACTGTTTACTTTTATGAAAAGGAGATTACATTGAATTACTTGTATTATTAACTTTGTTTCTCAAAACCTTGGCTTAGGCCTTTTTTTTTTTTTTTTTTTTTGAGGGTCATAAAATTTAGGGTATGTGTCTCCAATTTGGTTCCGCCACTGTGTATAATCAATATTCATAACTTGAAACTGCAAAAATTGAAGAATATTATCCCTACTACATTAATTGACTAGGAGATTTGTAGAGGACTAGAAGGGAAGTGAGTGTGTGACAGGGAAAATATATAACTAACATGTTATGGACTGCCATGACTGATGCTGATGATGAATGAACCTTCACTAGCTTCACCCTGAACAAAAAATGGTGAAAGAAATGGACCGATGGATCAACTAATTAAGCTGGCAACCACCACATGGACCACCAACAAAAGGCCTTTTTCTAGGTTTCTCCATTACAAAATCGTGCATATGCCACAGTTTTCTGTCACATAACACATGCCATCTTGTGTTTCATGCTTTGCCAAATACTATATACACAAACCATAATTCTTCACAGAACTTTTTCTTTTTCAAGAGTGCCCGAGCCAGGTCTCAGAATGTCCCAGTAGATCCAATCCACCTACTTTACAGGTGCATTCATTTACTCCATTAATCATCTTAAAATAATTATTATTTTAAGATTTAAATTTATTTTAAATTAATTTTTATTATATATATTTTTTATTTTAATTACATTATTATCTATTTACTCTAATTATTCATCTTATATATCATAAAAAATTTGTTTTTATCTTCTATTTCTTTTTTAAAAATTGTACATAGATAAACAAAAAAATTATTTTTAAATGTTTCTTATAAGACATCTAGTTAGAAGCTTGGGTCCCCAAGATACATTTCTTAATTTTAAATTTTGGATTTGGTAGGAAAAGTATTGAGAATGAAAATACTATTTTTTTATTATATAACTCATATTTGATATAAAACAATAAATTGTACTTGAATTTTTATTTAAAAAAATAAAAAAAATCAATTATTTTAACATTGAGAGGGTTGTACTTAAATAAGACTATAGAAAAGGATATAGATAGTAATACCCCTATATTTTGTTACTAGCAATTTGAAGTGGTAATTTTTTTTTTTCTAGTAATGAGGTGATATGCCGAGTTAGCTTTTATACATCACTTTTTTTAAAAAAAAATTTTAGCTGCACAATAAGAAGTGATTAATTTTCATTTTTTATCTCACTTCACTTGCATGTTATACGACTTGAATTCAGAATCAATTACTTTTAATAAAAAAAAATAATTAAATTAATTAAGTTATTGATCTTTTATACATCATATTAAATTTAATTTTTTAATAAAATTTATTAAAATTAGAGAATGAATGATAAATATATTTTTTTTAAAATTTTTAATTCAAATAGAGAGTTTTATTATGAGTTATATTTTCCGATAGAAATGATCATATCCTGTGTTTTGCAGCTGAATTAGTACGACAATCCAACACGTTATCTTTCGTTAACGTGTTTGTTGTAAAGAGTCTAAAAAGCCTGATTGGGTCAATAAGTTGCTACGATTCAACAAACTTGACTCCATTAATGTCCCGTTTTGGCTTGTGTTTGCATCCGTTTACCTCTTCCAGATCGATGTCGGTCTCAACTGAGTCATCATCATTTTTCCCAATATAATACCAATACCTAATTTTTTTGTTCTTCACCCTGATTAAAACCTTAATCTGACGGTCCACATCTCGCCATTCACGTTGACACTTAATTTGACATATCAACCCACATCCCATCTTGAAATAGGCACCCACCAACTTTGACATTTGGCATTCTTTTCCAGGGCTCCTCCTATTTCTGTTTCCTTTGCTTCTGGTCAATTGGACAGAATTTTAGCTTAGAACAGTTATTGAATTTTGGTTACATTTTAAGATAAACATTAGTTTTGAGGTGACTTTTGGGTTTTAATACTGAATTTTTATAAATAAAAATTTGCAGTGAGATTTTGTACGTCCAAATACAGATGTCTATCATTTTCATGCTTGGATGTTTTTACAAGGATTTTTGGATCTCTAAATATCAATTCTTGCATTTCTTCTTGACACGCAAAAGATCATCCCAATCTTTTGCCAATTTTTTTTTCACTTCCTTTCTTCCTAGAATTGAATCCAAAATGGGTTTTCTTTTAATTTCCTAGTGTATATATATATTTTAAAGTTTTGAAAAAGACTTACAACATTAATGTTAGAACTTATCCACTCGAGAGAGATGATTTAGAGATATCTAAGGATTAGTTAAAGTTTTGTTGGAAAATGTCTTTTGGTTGTTTTATTTTTTTATTTTTATTTTTTCTTATTATTTTAAAAATATATAAAATATTAATCAAAATAAATATTTTATATATTTAATATATTTTATTTATTTTTGAAATATTAAAAAACTAAAAAAACTACTATTGCAATTACAGCATATAACACTTTCAAACTAATTTTAAAATTTTATTTGACAATACTTCTTAATATTTAATTTTTGTATATATTTTTATTATTTTAAAAATATATAAAATGTTAATAAAAATAAATATTTAATATATTTTTAAAATCTGAAAATATTAAA